GAGAAGAGGCTGTATGAGATGATGGAAACAGTAGGGGCTGAGGATCCTGGCTGATCTGAGTTCAAATATGCCCCTTGGTAGCTATGTGGTACTGCATGCAGAGCTCAACCACTCTGTATCTATAAAATGCAAGTGATCATGTTCATCTCAAAGGATATAACTAGATAACATGGAAAACCTCCTCAGCATTATGATGAGTGCTCAGCCCAACAGTTCCTAGGATGCTGGGTAGTAAAGAATGAGATTCTGTTGTGAGAACATTTCCTTGAACGAATTTACGTTCTGTCTGGGAAGGGAAGTCATACATCTGGAACAGTGGTTCTCAACAGGGGGTTGATTTTGCACCCCAAGGGATATTTAGCAATGTCTGGAGACATTTTTGATTGTCATAATTGGGCGGGGGATTGTTACTGGAATCTAGTGGGTAGATTTCATGGATGCTGCTAAACACCCTACAATGCACAGCCTCTCAGAATAAAGAGTTGTCTGGCTCCAAGTATCAATACTCTAAGGTTGAGAAACCCTGGTCTGGCCCAACGCTGGGTCTTTATTGTTCCTTCTAGGGTATCTAGGCAATAACCAGTGAACCCAACTACATATGTGGAATTGTTCATGCTCTGAAGCAGCCAGCGAGGGGACATAGTCACTGGTGATTCAGGTGTGTTTGTTTGGGACTGTTAATCTTGGTCTGAGGCTGGAGTAATTCATTTAGAATGTGTTTATTGGTTACAGAGGACACCAAGGTGGGTGGACATGTTGTTTTGGAGGAGGGAAGTCATGTCCTAAGTCACCTGGACAAATAAGGGAAGTAGTTTTCAAAGAGCAGAATGGAATCCTTATTGGGGAAAAATTAGTGAGGCTTACAGATCATGAAAATGACCGGAAGGCCACTGAGGACTAAAAGTTGAACTTGGCCTGTGGTTGAGAATGTGGGATACAGAGATTGAGACAGAGTCCTGCAGGGTTCTGCCACAGAGCCAGGCCATCTTAAACCCCGCAGTGTGGGGCTTCACACTTTAAAAGGGGTATGGAGAAATCCATAGAAAAACCACAACAATCTCTGGAAAATAAAGAGTGTTCTGGAAACAGGCAAAAGGAATTTGGGTGTGTTTTTTTTTTTTTTAACATGGGAAAGAGGACTGAGGGTGCTTTGAACAAAAAAGATTATCACAAGGAGAAAAAAGGCCAGCTGTTTTCCATCTCCACGGAGGAGCAAATTATAGGAAATGGGCTTAGATTGCAGCACAATGGTGGTTATGAATACGAAAGCATTTCCTAATTGGACCCTGGAACGGACTTCAGAGGAAGACAGTTCAATGCCCATTACTCAAGTTTACCAAAAATAGGTTAAGTCTCAACCTGACCATAGACAGGGTCCTAGTCATGATGACTTGTTGAGCCCCCTGGTTTTATCCTTCTTTTTGCCTATGTCTTCACAGGGCACAGCCACTTCACTGATGAGGAAAAAATTCAGTTGTTTCGCTGTATGGCTTATGCATTCTAGTTTCCTAAACAACTCATTTGATGGATTTTCATTGATTATATACGAAATTGACTGGTGGTTTTAGAGTCATTTGGACCTAGCCTGTAATTTTATAACATTGGACTTTAACCTGTAAGTTATATTATGCTGGTAGGTCATTGAGTCAACCTTGCATTGTGCATTGACTGTAATGTTTAGTAGCTCGGTTTTATGAGTTGCTGGGATCTTTGGCACTGATACCAATACACACTTGGATGTAAACAGATCCAGCCATTCAGACCAGAGTAAACAAGGTGGGGAAATGGTCCGAGGCTTTCAATTTGCTCCACCAGGGTGCTATTTGTAGCTGGAGTGTATGATTGCATCAATGGCAACTCAATATCTACACTTGAATGTGGCAAGGGCGGAGGGGAGGGGAAGGGTTGGAAAGATGTCATCCTGCTGTTTCCAGCATTGCACAGACATGATGCCTTCCATTTTCAAGTGGATTGACTGAACTGCTGACAGAAAGGACTGGATCCAGTGAAGACTCATGCCATGTGCTGTGGGAGTGTCAAGCTGGTGTGTTTTCTGGGCGCTCTTGTGTATAGACAACTTTCTTATGCTTACACCCTAAGTGGGAGCAGGAATGTAGATTATCTTTGTCATCTATGGAGTTTTTAGCTTCTCTGCTAAGAAAAATATTCCTCTGTAAATATTCACATTAGAAGTCAAGAACTAGTAAATCCCTTGTGTTCTTAAAAGGTACAGGAAACTAGTAAAATCATTGATGGAATAGAAAATGATATGCATTCAATCAGAAATAAGCCTTGTCAAGGCACAATCCTACACAAGGTCCTGCTGACCTGGTTGGGTCCCAGCAGCAGGATTGCTGGCTGTGCCCCAATGGTCAGTTCTCCCTTCTTCCTTTGATAATACAGCCTCTGAGTTTTAGCCAGAGCCATGACTATTTCACTAAAGACTACATTTCCCAGCATCCCGTGCACTTAGGTGAGGTAAGGAATAAGTTTTGACTGATGGTATGTGGGCAAAAGTGATTTGGACAGAAATAATATGTGCCATTTCTGCTCCATGGTGTTAAGGGGAAAGGATAACTCCACCTTCTGTACCATATTCCTTCTTCCTGGGATGCAGACATAATGGCAGGACCTAGAGCAGCCCCTTTAATCATGAGGCAGAAGTCCTCTGTTGAGGATAATGGAGAATCAAGATGGAAGAAACCTGGATTTCTAATATCATGAACCATCACATTAGCCTGGACTATTCATGCATTAACTGTTACACGACAGAAAAATAAACTTCTACTTGTTTAAGCTACTATAACTTTGACTTTTGTAACAGTAGGCAAATTGATATCCAACTGATAATCTAACCCTTTGAGCACCAGAATATTATTAACTTTAGTAATTTAGGTATTTTTTCATCCAGGAGAAAATATATTTATATATTGTTTAAGATAGATATATAGAAAGATGGATAGATAGATAGATAGATACACACACAAATAAAACAGTACCTGAGATTTATTAACTAGGGACTTAGTGAAGATCACCAAAGCATTGGTCATAAAACTCACCCCACACGCTGTAATGTAAACTATATACAGCCTGCTTTATGTTTCTGTGTAATGAGCTACTGGAGAGAGAGGGGATGAGAATGATCCTTCTCATGAGGTGGTAAAGAGCACATGCTCTGGAGCCAGACAACCCAGCTGAATGACCAGGCTTATCCTCTGAGGATTATATGAGACTAGAGGCCCGGTGCACGAAATTTGTGCACTCCAGGGCGGGGTCCCTTGGCCCAGCCTGCACCCTCTCGCACGCAGTCCGGGAGCCCTTGGGGGATGTCCGACTGATGGCTTAGGGCCGAGGTTGTCAGTTGGACATCCTTAGCACTGCCACGGAGACGGGAGAGGCTCTGGCCACTGCCGCTGTGCTCACCAGCTGTGAGTCCGGTTTTTGGCTGAGCAGCACTCCCCCTGTGGGAGCGCACTGACCACCAGGGGCAGCTCCTGTGTTGAGCATCTGCCCCTGGTGGTCAGTGCACATAATAGCGACCAGTTGTTCTGCCATTCAGTCAATTTGCATATTAGCCTTTTATTATATAGGATTGAACAGGTAAAGTGCTTGGACCATTGCTTGGCACACACTAAGTACTGAATAAATTATCACACTACTATAATTCTTAGTTCTTCTCTACTAACTGGCCAGTGATAAATGACACTAAGAAATGTGGCTAAGGGACTAGATCAGGGGTGGGCAAACTTTTTGACTCAAGGGCCACAATAGGTTCTTAAACTGGACCGGAGGGCCAGAACAAAAACATGGATGGAGTGTTTGTGTGAACTAATATAAATTCAAAGTAAACATCATTACATAAAAGGGTATGGTCTTTTTTTTTTTTAGTTTTATTCATTTCAAACAGGCCGGATCTGGCCCGCAGGCTGTAGTTAGCCCACGGCTGGACTAGATCTAGACCGCTTTGGATCTACTTGTACATTTTGCACATGGTCTTATCTAAGATGTCAATTCAAAATGTCTATTTCTTGATGCCATTCCCTTACTAGTGAGTCTCAATCTTCGTTTATGCACATGCTCTAGGTACTATCTGAATTATATTTCATTGTATTTTTATAAGTCGATTTCTAAAGGAAGCTTGAAAAATAGCAATGAAAGTTTAGATATAGCTACAGCCCTCCATCTCTTACATTGGAGCCGTCTTCTACCTGGGTTCTCTCTGCCGTGGACAAGGTTATAATGATCCTCCTCGCCACTGGTCACAGTCACCTCTACTGATGACAACTGGGGCTTGGAGAGGTGGATTTACTGAGAAGTTAATAGAGTTTAATGTTCAGAGCCACGCGTTTGGTTGGGTCTCTTTCAAGGCTCTTTCAGGATTGCAGGAACCCAAGGTAGGAGGCATGGAGCCGATTCCAGACTAAAGGTCACCCATTGCCCCATGGCAGTGTGAGCTTGCTGCTTGCACCATATTCACATCCAACCAGCACGCAGGGCCCAATGCTTTCTTTGATCTAAAGAAGAAAGATATGAACAAGATGCTGCTCTGCTCTCAGCTCAGAGGCTACTGTGGCCAAGCTTCATGGCCACTCTGGACTGATAAGAGCCTGGGAGTGGCAAGGACCTGGCCGAATCTGACCAGCTTCTATGGCAGCTGCTGTCAAAAGCACTGCCTGCTCAAGAGACTAAGAGGATATTGCCAACAAGGGATTCTGAAGTGTAAAGAAACCTTTCTAAACCACCAACACTAAGAAAAAAAAATAACATGTAAAAGGAAAGACAGGATTGTCTCCCCATTTCCTATAGATAATCATTTTACAACACTGTTGTCATATGGGAAGTTTCAAGAAAGAGTATACAGTCAAAACTATACAGAAAAATAGTTTTATCAAGATATCTCAGGTAGTTAATTAATTAATAAAATATTGTTCTTTTAATGGATTTTTTGGTGTTTGTGGTATGTGTCAACAGTTTAAATTTAGCCAATACGCATTACATACCTACATTTGAACTTGTAATTTTGTGCTCTTTTCCTTAAAGAGGTTCTCCCAAACTGGGTAAGCCGCAGGACCCACACCACCGAGATCTTCTCCTAGAAGGGAGATATGTCCACTTTGGTGAGAAGAGCACTTCTCGGTCGGTGTTTTAGATGAAAATAGACGGACCGTGTCACATGACACTTTCTGGGCATCACCAGTAACCAGCCCTCGGAAGCTAGAACTCAGACATGCCTGGAGGAAAAGCTGATACTCAGGTTGGGTGGTTATATGCATGTTAGTGATTTATCTCTCAATAATCTAGAGGTGCTGTGAGTGAGCTGTGTGTTTTCTTTTGATCCCTTGCAGGTCTCTTTATAAACATCATGAATGTGCACTGTTACTTCCAGTCTAACTGTAACTCAAAAATAAAAATAATTTTTTTTTTTTTCATTTTTGGCCTTTCTGACCTTAAAACCTCAGTTGGGCATGTTCTAGTTGCACTGACCACTGCAACTATGAACTCCTTCTGATGTTTTCTGGGAAAAGTCACCATCCCTTTCTCCACATGTTCTCGCTCCTGCTTCATAAAGAGTTCTTGAATTCAGTAACTAGTTCCATTTCTAAATCAAGCATGGTGAATAGGCTGAATAGCTGGTGATGGTCTTGACTAATTTTATCAAATTCTCTGCTGAAGGGAATATAGGAGGAAGTAAATATGGGTCAAAAACAGAGAGAAGGATGAAGTCTACTTGTAGATGGTGGAATCAGCCATGAGAGTGTGTAACTCCCCACTATGATGACCAAGTCCAAAACGCAGAACCTCTCACTTGAACCTTCCTGACAACTTCAGTTCCCTATATTCAGGCTTGCCACCCTGCCCCGTAGCAAGCGCCAGAGTTATTTTTTTTATCATCAGATCACATCAACCTTTTGCTTAAAACCCTCCAATGGCTGCCCATGGCAATAGAAATAAAAGCCAAAATGAATTATGACCTGAAAGTCCTTCCATAATGTGATGACTGCTTCTGCTTCTTCTCCTACCTACCCTCTGCCATGACGACCTCATCCCCTACAACCCCCATCAATGCCCATGCTTTAGCCTTCCTCCCTCCTTTCCTTCCTTCCTTCCTTCCTTCCTTCCTTCCTTCCTTCCTTCCTTCCTTCCTTCCTTCTTTTCTCTTTTCTTTTCCCCTTTCTTTCTTGTTCTCTTTCTATATAACAGTTTTATTGAGATATAATTCACATACCATTCAATTCACCTGTGTAATGTTGCTATAATTCAATGGGTTTTGGTATATTCACAGAGTTGTGCAACCAGCACCACAATCAATTTTAGAATATTTCATCACTCTAAAAAAAAAACTGTACATGTTAGTAGTCACTTCCCATTTGCCCTGTAGCCCTAGATAACCACTAATCTACCTTCTATCTTTATAGATTTGCCTATTCTGGACATTTCATATAAACAAAATCATACACTGTTTGGTCTTTTATGTCTGGCTTCTCTCACCTAGCATGATGTTTTCAATGTTCTTTCATGTTGCAGCATGTATCAGTACTTATTACTTTTTATAGCTGAACTAGAGGCCCGGTGCACAAACATTTGTGCGCTCAGGGGGGGTCCTTCAGTCTAGCCTGTGCCGTCTCGCAGTCTGGGACCCTTCAGGGGATGTACACCTGCTGGCTTAGGCCCACTCCCTGGGGGATTGGGCCTAAGCTGGCAGTCAGACATCCCTCTGGCAGCCCGGGAGTCCTCGGGGGATGTCCACTTGCCAGCGGGGAGCAGGCCTAGCTGCAGTCAGACATCCTTAGCACTGCTGGGAAGGCAAGAGAGGCTCCCACCACCACTGCTGTACTGGCAGCCATCAGCCTTGTTTGTGGCTGAGCAGAGCTCCCCCTGTAGGAGTGCACTGACCACCAGGGGGTAGCTCCTGCATTGAGCGTCTGCCCCATGGTGGTCAGTGTGTGTCATAGTGACCAGTCGTTCCCAGTTGTTCTGCTGTTAGAGTCAGTTTGCATATTACCCTTTTATTATATAGGATAGAGGCCTGGTGCATGGGTGGGGGCCAGCTGGTTTGCCCTGAAGGGTATCCTGGATCAGGGTGGGGGTCCCACCGGGGTGCTTGGCCAGCCTGGGTGAGGGGCTGAGGGCCACTTTCAGACTGGCCATACGCCCTTCAGGGTGGGAGTCCCTGCTGGAGTGCCTGGCCAGCCTGGGTGAGGGGATGATGGCTGTTTGCAGGCTGGCCAAGCCCCCCAGGGGGGGCCCTCACCCCATGAGGGTCTGGCTAGCCTGGGTGAGGGACTGATGGCTGTTTGCAGGCTGGCCACAGTCCCTTCAGGGTTGGGGTACCCACTGGGGTGCCTGGCCAGCCTGGGTTAGTGGCCATGAGGGTGTGGCCAGCCTGGGTGAGGGGCTGATGGTTGTTTGCAGGCTGGCCAAGCCCCCCAACAGGGACCCTCACCCCATGAGGGTGTGACCATCCTGGGTGAGGGGCTGATGGCTATTTGCAGGCTGGCCACAGCCCCCAGCCACCCAAGCTCCCAGTGGAGGCTGGCTGGAAGCAGGTATCTGGGACGTATTTATCTTCTATAATTGAAACTTTGTTGCCTTCAGCGGAGGCCACAGCCTCCGGAGCAGGGGCGAAGCTTGGCTTCCTTCATCGCCAGGGCAACCAAGCCTCCTGCTTGCTCCAGCTCCATGGCTGCTGGCCGCCATCTTGGTTGGGTTAATTTGCATATAGTCGCTCTGATTGGCTGGTGGGTGTGGCTGGTGAGTGTAGTGGAGGTACAGTCAATTTGAATGTTTCTCTTTTATTAGATAAGATGATATTATATTATAAGGATAGATCACATTTTATTCATCAATTGTTGGACATTTTGGTTGTTTTCACTTTTTGGCTACTTTAAATAATGTTGCTGTAACTACTTGTGTATACTTTTTTTGCATCCACGTATGTCTTCAATTCTTTGGGGTGAACACAAGATTAGAATTTATGGATTATACAGTAACTCTCTGTGTTTAACATTTTGAGGATCTGACAGACTCTTTTTCCAAAGTGGCTGCAGCATTTTACATTCCCACCAGCAACAAACACATGAGCATTCCCATTTCTGCACGTTCTCATCAATACTTATTATTATCTATATTTTAAAATTACAGTTATCTTGGTTTGAAATCATTATGGTTTCTATTTTAATTTCCACAATGGCTAACAAGGTCATGCCATCTTTTCTTCTGCTTATTGGACATTTGCATATCTTCTTTGGAGAAATGCCTATTCAGATTAATTTTGTAACTGGGTTGTTTGTCTTTATGTTGTTCAATTGTGAGAGTTTTTTATATTTTGTAGATACCAGATGCATATCAGATATATGATTTGCAAATATTTCTGTTATCCTGTGGATTATCTTTTCATTTTCTTGATGGCATCCACTGAAGTGCAAAAGTTTTACATTTTTATGAAGTCCAATTTATCTATTTTTTTCTTTTGTTACTTATATTTTTTGGTGTCATGTCTAAAAAGGCTGTGCTTAACTTAAGGTCATAGAAATTGACTCCTATGTTCTCTTTAAAGAGTTTTATGATTTTGGCTCTTACACTTAGGTCTATGATTTCTTTTGAGTTAATTTTTAAATATGGTATGATTTGGGTTCCAATTTTATTTTTTTATGTGTGGATACCCACTTGTCTGGCTCCATTTGTTGAACAGACTATTCTTTCCCGCATTGAATTGTCTCGGCATCCTTAGGCACACTGCTCTTTATACCCCAAGCAGATTCCTGCCTCCAGGCCTTTGCACTATTAGTTTCTTTGGTGTGGAACCTTCTTTCCCTGATTTTCACTGTCAGTCTCCTTTTCATGCTGTAGGTCTCAGCTCAGAGATGCTAACCCTGAACACAGTCTCTACAGTAGCCCTCCCACTCAGCCTTTCTCCATCCTTATTTATTCTTCTTTGTACTTAACTGCCTTAATAGATTTGATTTCTCTATAGAGTTCTTTAAATCTTTTAATAGGATAGATACATTTTCAAATCAAGATAGTTCAGGAGTAGATAGTAGATACTGAATTTAGAAATGGGGGATTCCTCTAACTGTTATATGTGTTTGGGGATGGGTGAAATATGACTGAGAAAGAGCCCGTGGGTAAGAACGAGAAACAAGTAGGTGAGTTTCAGGGTATTCTAGTTGGACATCAGAATCAAGAAGCTATTCTTGGTAATGATTAGTTTTTTTGATTTGACACCAAAACACAGGAAACATAAGCAAAAGTAAACAAGTGGGACTACATCAAACTAAAACGTTTCTGTATAGCAAAGGAACAATTGATATGAAAAAGCAATCTATGAAATGGGAGAAAATATTTGCAAACTGTATATCTTATAAAGGGTTAATTACCAAAATATATAGGAACTCACACAACTCAATAGCAATAACCCCCTCCCCCCCAAAAAAACAAATTTAAAAATGAACAAAGGACATGAATAGACATTTTTCCAAAGAAAGCCAGCAAATGGCCAACAGGTATATAAAAAGATGTCCAACATTACTAATCATCATAAAATGAAATCAAAACCACAATAAAATATCACCTCACAACTGTTAGGATAATTATTATCAAAAAGTCAAAAAATAACAAGTATTGGTGAGGATGTAGGGAAAAGGGAACCGTTGTACACTGTGCGAATGTAAATTGGTACAACCATTATGGAAAACAGTATGGGGGTGGTCCTCAAAAGATTAAAAACTAGAACTATCATATGATCTAGCAATCCTGTGTACACACACACACACACACACACACACACACACACACACACAAACAGTGAGGAATATTATTCAGTCATGAAAAAGAAGGAAGTCCTGTCATTTTTGACAACGTGTGTGACCCTGCAGGACATTAGGCTAGGTGAAATTAGCCAGACACAGAAAGACAAATACGGCATGATCTAACTTACATGTGATATCTGAAAAAAAAAAGTTGAACTCATAGTAAGGGGCTTGGTTGGGAGATAGGGGCTTGATATTGATCAAAGGGTATGAGTTTTCAATGATAAGATGAGTAAGTTCTGGAGACCTACTGCATAGCATGGTTACTATAGTAAATAATAATGTATTATTATATACTTGAAACTTGCTAAGAAAATAGATCCATCTCAAATGCTTTCACAAATAACAACTATGTGAGTTGATAGATATGTTAATCAGCTTAATGCTACTGATCATTTCACAGTGCATATGTATATAAAAAGATCATATTGTATCCTCTAAATATATATAGCTTTTATTTGTCAATCATACATCAATAAAGCTGACCAAAGAAAAGAAAATCATCATTTGGTGTCATAGTTATAACTGATTTAGAAAGAATCATCAATGGGATTTCAAAATTAGTAAAAGGTTGATGAGGAGGTATCTGTGACAAATTACTTATTCATTACAAAGAGAAAAATAGTTATTTTATAGTAGAGAAACCTGGCAGACACCACCTTCATGATCAAAGTTAACAATGCAAGGAATGGAATAGATTGGCATGTATCTTGTGATAAGATGCATTAAAAAGAAATGGTATTACTTCTGTGGTAAACCTGCCAAAAAATACATTACCTGACTCTAATCATGAGGAAACCTCAGACACATCCAAGTTAAGGCACAGTCTTTACATAGCTACTCCACACTCTTAAAAAACGTTCGTCATGAAACAGCATCTGAAGGACACTTACAGATTAAAGGAGACCTGATAACTAAATGTGATTTGTGATCCTGGACCAGAAAAATCCATTGTTTTTGCTATGAAGGAAATGATTAGGACAACTGATAAAATTCAAATAAGGACTGTAAATCCTATCTAATAAAGAGTGGATATGCTAATTGACCTCACGCCATCATAAAGATGGTGGCGCCCACAGCCAATAAGGAGGGAATATGCTAATTGACTTCCACACCCTTAAAGATGGTGGTGCCCACAGCCACAAGATGGGAGCACCCAGTCCCCTCAGCCCCACCAGGGTGGCAGGTGCGCAGCAAGACCGGGCCCACCCACAGGCGCCTGCCTCCGGAGTCCCCCAGTCCCCTCAACTCCCCAGCTGCCCAGGCCTGCCTGAGGTACAGGCAAGCCTAGGATGGCAGGTGCCCATCCACCCAGGGCCACCTGAGGCTCAGATAACCAGGGCCGGCCGAGGCTTGCAACGCCAGCAGTGGCAGCAGCAGAGGTGTGATGGGGCATCACCTTCCCCTGATCACCAGGTCGCCTCCTGCCCCTGAGGGATCCCAGACTGTTAGAGGGGGCAGGCTGGACTGAGGGACTCCTCCCCCCAGTGCATGAATTTTCATGCACCGGGCCTCTAGTTAGAAAATAATATCCTATCAACTTAAATTTCCTAATGTGAAAGTAGTACTGTTACTACACTGTAAAAGATGGCCTCATTCTCGGGAAATACACATTGAAGTACCCAGAAGTAAAGAGGCATCATGTCAGAATTTACTCTCCAATGGTTCAGAAAAATAATGCACGCGCGCACACACACACACACAATCATGCTGTACACCTTAAATTTATACAGTGATGTGTGACAATTTCTCAATAAAATTGGAAAAATACTTTTTATATTGTGTCAAACACATACACACACACACACACACACACACACACACACACACACACAACCACCACCACCAATAACAACAACAACAACAACAACAGCAACAGCAACAACAACAACAGCAACAGCAACAACAACAACAACAAAAGAATCCAGGAGCTATTCTGTGGCCCAAGGCTGGCCTTTTGCATACTTTGGATAGAGGGGTATAACCACTTCCATCTCAAATTTGTAAAGCTACAATTCTAGCCTCTATTTCAATCAAGTTCTAAAACTGTCGGAGGTTTTCTCCCTGACCTGACCCAGTGGGTGGTCTGGACTCCTCCGACACTCCTGTACTTGGATCAAACTTTACCTTTCTGTCTAGACCCAAGTTTTTCATTGAAGCCAAGGCTCAAACTGCCCCCAGGGAGCCCTAGGAAGCAGCCATTTGCTTGCCTTGAAATGCTGGTGACAGTCATTCTTTTTGGTCAGGAAGTTGTGAATTCCTGTTGACTCTGCAGCACCTGGGAGTTTGGGGGAAGCAGGGGAATGAGGGAGAGAGAATGTCTGGCCTGCATTATTCTATCTGCAGAGCTCCTCACCACCGAGGCACAAAGGAGCACATTCAGAGGGCTTTTTTCTTGGGGGTCAGGGGCAAGACAATGATGACAAGCCTTAGGAACACAATCCAACTATGGGAATTCTGTCTTTAAGATTCTTGAGCAATAGTGTGGCTTTTAGTTCTTGCTTTCACAGAATAACTCCTCGGAGGAGGCTTTTGAAACCATAGGGTCATGAAATCAATTTAGTGGACTACAACCACTCATTTTTTAAAATGTAATAGGTTATATTAGAATAGACAATATCAAAGGGTAGTTAACCACGGACTCTGGAACCAGACCTGCTGAATTTGAATCTGTGTGACCACTTAGCCATGTGGCCTTGGGAAAATTACTTACCTTCTCCATGCCTCAGTTTCCTCACCTGAATAATAATACATACAGACATCACAGACTTACTATAGGGATTAAATGAGTTAATAAATGTAAAGCACTCACTCACTCACTCACTCACCTGTGGGCCAGTGGAGGCTTGGCTAATCCAGGTTGGCTCTTCAACTCAGGGCCTAGGTGTGCTCCACATGTGTCCAATTGGGGGCCTGGGAGTATTCCTTCTCATCGTAATGTTAGAGGCACAAAAGAGCAAGCTGAACCCCATAAGTGCATTTGAATCCTCTACTTGCCTGATGATTCATTGGCTGAAAGGCAAGGTGCAGGAGAGTACACGTCCATAATCCCATTGACCAAAGCCATTGTTCAAGACATCAATTAGGCAGAAAACAATAATCTATTGAGCTAGACTATTGAGCAATAATCTGGTAATCAAAATCAAAGAGAAAGTGAAGGATTAATCTGAAGCAGGGGCCAGCAAACTCCTGCCTTCAGGCCAGATCTGCCCCACCATCTGTTTTATAAATAAAGATTTTTAAAAATATATATTTTATTGATTTTTTACAGAGAGGAAGGGAGAGGGATAGAGAGTTAGAAACATTGATGAGAGAGAAACATCGACCAGCTGCTTCCTGCACACCCCCTACTGGGGATGTGCCTGCAACCAAGGTACATGCCCTTGACCGGAATCGAACCTGGGACCCTTCAGTCCACAGGCTGATGCTCTATCCACTGAGCAAAACCTGTTAGGGCTATAAATAAAGTTTTACTGCAACATCCATGCCCATTTATTTATATACTAGAGGCCCGGTGCACAAAAATTTGTGCACTCGGGGGGGAGGGGGTTCCCTCAGCCCGGCCTGTGCCCTCTCACAGTCTGGGACCCCTCAGGAGATAATGACCTGCTGGCTTAGGCCTGCTCCCAGGTGGCAGAGGGCAGGCCTAATCCCTAGGTGCAGTCCCTGGTCGGGCTCAGAGCAGGGCCGATTGGGGAATTGGGGCGCCGCCCTCTGTCATGCACAGAGCAGGGCGGATTGGGGGGTTGCGATGCCACCCTCAGTCACGCTCGGGGTAGGGCTGATTGGGGGGTTGGGGCACCGCCCCCTGTCACACTCAAGGCAGGGTCAATGGGGAGGTTGCAGCGCCACCCCCTGTCACGCACAGAGCATGGCCAATCAGGGGGTTGGGGCGCTACCCCCTGTCATGCACAGAGCAGGGCCCATCAGGGGGTTGGGGAGCTCCCCCCTGTCACGCACAGAGCAGGGCAGATCAGGGGGTTGGGGCGCTGCCCTCTATCACCCACAGAGCAGGGCCGATCAGGGGGTTGGGGCGCCGCCACTGTCACACTCAGGGCAGGGCCGATGGGGAGGTTATGGCTCTACCCCGTCACACACAGAGCAGGGCCCGTGGGGTGGGGGTTTGGGGCGCTGCACCCTGTCACACACAGAGCCGCAGGGCGATCAGGAGGTTGGGGAGCTCCCCCCTATCAGGCACAGAGCAGGGCCAATCAGGGGGTTGGGGCGCCTTCCCCTGTCAGGAACAGAGCAGGGTGGATAAGGAGGTTGTGGCCCCGCCCCCTGTCACACACAGAGCCACAGGGCGATCAGGGGGTTTGGGCACTGCCCCCTGTCATGCTGATCCCGGTGCAGGGAGACCTCACGGCTCCGCTGATCCCGGTGCTGGGAGGCATATTACCCTTTTACTATATAGAATAGAAGCCTGGTGCATGGGTGGGGGCTGGCTGGTTTGCCCTGAAGGGTGTCCCGGATCAGGATGGGGGTCCCCACTGGGGTGCCTGGCCAGTCTGGGTGAGGGGCTGAGGGCTGTTTTCAGGCTGGGACTGAAGCTCCCAACTGCTCCTTTTTTTCTTTCTTTTTTTTTTATTCTGTGCCAGCTTTAGCTCTGAGGCTCCAGCTCTTAGGCCTCCGCTCCTTAAAGCAGGTATCTGGTTTGTTTAGGTTCTACAATCGAAACTCTGTATCAACTCCAGGTCTGAGATCCAGGCTAGCTGAAAGCTGGTTTCTGGGGTTTTGTTTAGCTTCTATTTTTGTAACTATGTTTCAAACTGCCAGCTCAGAGGCCTGCAGCAGCAGGCGGGGAACGTTGGTTTCCTCTGTCACTGAAGCAAGCAAGCCTCATGTTAGTTTCAAGCTGCCTGGCTGCCGGCCGCCATCTTGGCTGGCAGTTAATTTGCATATTGCCCTGATTAGCCAATGGGAAGGGTAGCGGTCGTACGCCAATTACCATGTTTCTCTTTTATTAGATAGGATGGCTGATTTTGTGACACAACTTGCAGAGTTGAGTAGTTGCAACAGAAGCCAAAGGACCTACAAAGTCTACAATATTTACTATCTGCCCCTTTACACAAAAAGTTTGCAGAGCCTCATTCTTAAAAATGAAAAGTTTAGGAATTAATGAGAATTCAGCATCATATCAAGTTACATAGTCAATGTACACTTCCCAAGCACCAGACAATGGTGATTGCTGCTCAATGACCACGTGGTTTGATTTGACAACCCGATTGTCATTAGTGCAAGAAGTGAATGCTTTCTTTTAAACACACACACACACACACACACACACACACACACACACACATATACACACACATGCGCGCACACGTGTTTTTATTGATTTTTAGAAAGAGAGGAAAGGAGAGGGAGAGAGAGATAGATACATCAAAGATGAGAGAGAATCATTGACCGGCTGCCTCCTGTACCCTCTACTGGGGATGGAGCCCACAACCTGGGCATGTGCCCTGACCAGGAATCGAACCAGGGACCTCTTGGTTCATGGATTGATGCTCAACCAACTGAGCCACACCGGCTGGGCAAGAAGTGAATGCTTTTTGGTTTTCAACAGTCACTGTGTGATAAGAGGAAGTCCCATCCTACTCTGACACTTGGGCTAACCACAGAGCCTCATCATTGGAATTCATACACTGATTTTCCTATTCCTATCAATCATGTAAGGAGTTAGTATTGTGGCTTTGGTTAAAAAACACATTCCTTTTGGGTTAATGATCCTCGTGATCTTCCAGATATTTAACCTTAAAGAAAATGATGCAATCATCCCAATAAAACAAAATATTTTAAAACTGTACTGGACCCCAAACCCTTGGAAACAGAATTCTTAGGTAGAAACCCACACAGTAAACTGATCTAAGTGGAGTTGCTAAGACTCGGGTGGGTGGGAAGGGGAACCTGGGCTAAGAGCTACGCCCACTGAGCCAAGCCCCAGCTCACACCCTAATCCCCTGAGGAGTGCAGAGGCAACTAGAAGATGCATGGGCTCCTTGGGAATTCCTTCTGCCTTTGTGAATTTTCTAATACCCCACAGGAGAACTTCATTACACAAAAAGTATTACTTTGGGGTTGTTTTATTTTTTTGTAAATTATATACCATTTATTGGAGTAACACATTTAGAATCCTACTTCTTTTTTTAAAGCTTGTAAGTCATTTTTACATTTCTTATTCTGCTATTTATGTGGGGAAATCTTAAGAACTTGCTTTATGGGAGGCTTTTATTAAGGGTTGGTTCCACTTAGACTTAGTTAATTAGCAACTTAAAAGGTTTTTAATTGTGTTTATAAATTTAGTATATTTCATTTGCTTTTCAATGATACCTAACACTTATGCTCTTACTATGTTCAAAAACTGTTCTAAACTATTTACATTGTTAACTCATTTAATTCTCACAGAAATTCTAGAAGATATATCATGTTCTTGTCATGCCTGTTTCACACACAGGGAAACTGGGGTACAGAGGATAATTCTCTCAAAGTCACATAGCTAATAATATCTGAAATACTTTGTGAACCATAACATTCATCTCCAGAATCCAGACTTTGGTTCTTATCCTCTATGTTAATTAGCTAACTATAAATTAATTGACTGGAAAGAAAATTTATGACTGCTTTGACCATTCTTGTAAAACTAATAAAATTGAACTTACAAGTATAGTGTAATAGGTTCAAAATTCTTTTAAATGTTCCATAATTGATTACAAACTTATTTTTGTCTCTTACAGAAGTCTCTTAATATAGCATATTGTTCTCCAATATACCAAATTCATTTAAACATTGCGAGTACTTAAAATATCAAACACACAGATTATTTCAAACTTTACATGAAAAAAAACACAACACACCTTAATACTGTGGGTTTGATTGACTTCATCATCTGTAATTAACTCTAAGTCTCTCTGGCTGAAGACATTTCACTGCTAAGGAACAATCACACTCTCTAAGCTGTCGGGAGTGTGCAGGGAGAGTGAGCCATGGGTCCATGCTGCTGAATGTCTGAAAATTAACCATTGCATTTGGCTAAGTGGAGGTCACAGTGACCTTGGCCAGAGTAGGTGTTGGTGTTAGATGGGATGAGAGCATAAATTAAAAGGGCCAAGGGAGAAGAGCTGGAAAGGACTAGGAGATCATTTTTGTTGTTAAAGGGAGCTGAATATTGGGCAATAGCTGGAGGGAAATGTAGAATCAAGGAAAATTTTACATATATATATATATAAAGTAAGTTAATAGAAATGATCCGTTGACAGCAGTGAAGGAAATGAATTCGGGAGGAGGAAGGCAAGTGATGCCCGTGAGTAGGCAGAGGGAGTGGACTCTAGATTTGGGACCATGGTAACTGGAGGGCAGGTGAGCAAAAGGACACAGATGCTGGGAGATGTGGTGGAATCAGTGCAAGTTTCTTGCAGTTGCTTCTGTTTTCTGAGAAAAATAGGAAGTGAGGTCATCAGTGCAGAGTAATGGGGAAGGTAGTTTGAGGAGAAGGAAAATGTGAAGTAATCCTCCAGGAGAGGCAAGAGTCAAAGACCAGGGAAATGCATGGGGTTGCCTGTTCACATGCAGGACCATTGCCTACGGAGAGGATCAATGCCTCTGACTGGATGAGAAAGCACAAGGGAATGAGAATAGACAGGAGAGGATGAGGTTAAGGACGGAGCCTGGTGGGCAGAGCTAACTGTGGAGAGAGCCAAGACCATCCGATCCGTGTGAGGCCTTATTGATCCAGAGAAGCACTAGGAACAGAGAGTCTTCTTCACTCCTCTGAACTGAGTTAATAATTAACCAGCCTCTTACTCAGAGGATCAAGTTCAATGACTTACCACTTGGGATAAAAAGATGCTTTAGGTGCTACCCACCAGAATGGATGTCTGGTGCCTGTTCCCTTCTAAACCCACGTGTCCTGGAAGTCTCAGCCACAAGGGACTTCAAATAAGCCCAGCCTGTGCTGCTCATGCTGGTAGCTCTCCAACATCACCAACATGAGAGAAACGGCTCAAGTGGGGACTTCTAGTGGTACATTTTTGGCTGATTAATTATCATTAGGGGCAATATGCTGAAATTTTAATATCTCCATAGGGGAGCTAATTAAAAACAGGCAAACTGCATTTGCTCATAAAAAGTGTTATTAAAAAATTCTGGTTTTCTTTCTGATGCCAAGTGCTTGTCAGAACAGTTCCTCCCAGTGGATCTTTCCCTCAGGTCAGTCAGCCTGCCCCATCTCTATCCTTTCTACACAGATACTGACTCAGTTCAATTCCATTTCCTTCCTCGCTCAGAGGTTTCCGCCTAATCCAGGATTTCTCAACCTCAGCACTATTGGCATTTTGGGCTGGAAAACACTGTGTTGTGGGGGTGGAGCTGGGCATTTGTAGGACGTTTGGCAGCATCTCTGGCCCCCTCCCACCCAATGTAAGTAGACCACTACCCTCTACCCCACCCAAGGTAGTGGCAACCAGAAATATCTCCAGGCATTGCCAAATGTCCCCTGAGGGTCAAATTGGTCACCAGTTGAAAACCATCCGTCTATCAGGTTTGGGGACAGTGGGAACCAGAGGTAACTCAAATTAGAGCTTCATGTGGACTCTCCCATGGCAACCCTGGCAGTATAAATTAAGTCTCTGGTAGAACAGGATGAGCTCTGACAACCCCAGAGGTGAGAAATTAGACACTTTCCCTTCCGTACAGAATGTACAATAAGCGGCTAATCCTGCTTTAAAAAGAAAAGAAAAAAACCACAACCACACAGAACTTGTCACATTTCCAGCTTTCTCGCCAATTGATGTGAAGATTCCCAGGAGATGGTAATTAGTTTCGAACTACAGGAAAGACACAATGCACAGAACTTTAGAATTGGGGAAATGCAGAGAGAGAAAGTGAGAGAGGGGAGGTGGGAAGGGAGGGGAAAGGGAGGAAAGGACACAGAACCCAAGGGCAAAGTAGGAGTTCAACTTGAACTTTGTACCTTTGACTTTGTATAAGTTCAATTAAGTACCAAGGCTTTACTATGATAGCAAAGTAATAATGTCTGTGTTAAAATCCAAATCATCCAGCTCCCCACTGCCTATAGGATAAGGTTCAAACAGCCTACCCTGGCAATTAGGGCCCTAAGAGTTTGTATTTGGCCCTAAGAGTTAGAAACCTGCTCCCACTGCCTGCAGGAATGCTTCTTTCTATTCCATCTGGTCCACTCACATTTCTGCAGACACCTTGCAAATGCCTATTCCTGGATCTTTGTACATGCCCTTGGCCTACCCAACCTCTCATATATTTAACATTCAAGGCCCCATCAATCCCCACCTTATTCATTCCCTCACTTGCTCTGGCACACCTAGAAGCTGGGCTGTAGTCAAGAGCAAGAGCTAACAGCTCTCCAGCAGTTCCCACACACCAGGACCAGATGCTGTTCAGAGCAATCTTTGCTTTAGAGACTGGAGAGAAATCCCTACTTCCAGGGCTACCCACCGCCACTCCCATGGACCTACCGGGGGCCAGTCAGTGTCTGCTCCTGTGATAGTGGCATTTAGTTTCCTCTGTCTTTGAGAGCAGAAGTACAAAGATGGGGAGAGATGGTAAAGAGTGGCCTGATTCAGTTGAAGGGACAGCGAGCCTGGGGTGGGGTAAGGGGCACTGAACTCAAGCCCAAGGGTGTGGGGGAAGGGTTGGTCAGCCCAGGGTGACCTTCAGGGCTGGAGGGAGGGGAAGAGGAAGCACATTTTTGCTGCTCCTGCTCAAGGCTTCCTGAAGGCGGGGCGCCCTGTTCTTCACTGCACGTCAAGCCTTCCTCTGGGCACACGCTTGCCACGGCTCTCACATACCCACATGTGGACCATGTCCAAAGTTTGAAGCACCCGAGACTCTGCTAGTGACTCTGTCCCCAAATTCTTCGGGGCGCTGACAAGGAGGCCTTGATTCACAGGTTGAGACTTTGGCTTCACAGTAACCCCATTTCCCCGGCTTGGAACCAAGCTCTCCGAAGAAGAAACGGGCCAAGACCTTGGCCCATGCGCGCTTCCCGAGAGTTCCTGGCTGCACTTGCAGGATTCACTTTCCATCCAAATTGCCTTTTTGAATATAGCACCGTCTCTCTTCAGCCTCCTTTCCTCTCTCCTCATTTCCTGTTTCCTCTTCTCCCTGTCTCCTTAGTGTCTGCTCAGTTATCAAAGAACGGCTGTGCTACTTTCAGGAATGTTCTCCGGCCAAGCCAGTGGAATGAGCCCCAGGCTCTGGGGAGCCTGCAGCCAGGTCTCAGTTCTCTCCCTTCACTGAGCACCAGAGCCCATAACTAGCATCTTCGGGGGACATAATATTCCCTTATGGAACCAGTTTCTGATTATTTTCATCTTCCCTGCTCTCTCCCAGCCCATCCCTTCTTTCCCTTCCCCAGATCCAGTCAGAGCGGTATTGGGAAGCAGAATAGAGAGTGGCTGAGAAGGGAGATTTGGGATCAGACCATCGTGTGCTCCACTCTCGACACCATCACTTGGACTAGTTACTCAGTTTCCTCAACTGTAAAATGGGGACAATGACAGCTGATCTGGAGGCACGCGAGGAGGATTGAATGGGACAATGTATGCATAAAGAGAAGAACATGTTATTCAGCAGAATTCCTTTTAGGAAGGTAGAGCTGTCTTTGTTGAGAAAATATTTGGCTAAGTAGAAACCGAGATCCTTAGGGTCAGAGGTGGACACTCCCAGCGAGACAAAGGGAGGATTTTGTTTGCGACTCCCGGAGGAAGTGGGGGCCAGGAGAGGGCGGAAATCCTGCGCTCCAGAGGTGACCCCTCCCCATGGCACACCCTCCTCCCACCAAAACCTTGGGTCAGGTTTACTAAACTCATGGAATACTTGAAGTAAGTAATGAGGAAAACAGAGAAGGGGCTGAGTCTTGTCTCCAGGGAGCTGTGGGGGCAAAACTCTGACAGCGTTTCAGGATGAGAGATGTGGAGGCAGGAACATCTAAGGGTGGAAGACATGGGACCCTCCTAGGACCATCAAAAGCCTCGGATCTCAGAACAGATTTCTCAAGGGTTGGGGGCACCAGCTGACAACCTGGTTAAGCAGGCAAGACGTTGTAGCTTAGTGTTACCATTCCATGTCATGCTTTCCTGGGTCTTTCCCTGTTGACCTGCAGTCTCAGTTCAGACATTACTTCCTTCAGGAAGCCTCCTCTGGTGTTCCAAGTGTGGGTTCACCTCTGAACCCCGACAGGTGTTCTTATCATAGGAGTTTTCAACCTGAGTTGTAATTGCTTAGTTGCCTGCTTTCCTACTAGACAATTCACGTCATTTGGTCAAAGCTAAATCTTGTATACCCTTGTGTTCCCAGACCTAGCACAGCACCTTGCACATCATAGGCTCACAATAAATATGTGTTCAGTACATGATGGTATAGTAGAAAAAACACAGTCGTTGCTGTTCTATAAAAACCAGGTTCAAAGTCTGACTCTAACACTTAAAAGCTGTGCAACTCTGGGCATGTTACTTAATCTCTCTGAGCCTCTTCCATCTCCTCTGTAAATAGGAAGGTGCAGGGTCAGTGTGAGGGTGGAATGGGGAGATATGTAGTAAACGGTGCCTGGCCAGTCAGTACTTAGCAAATATTGGTTCCTCAATACAGTCTCTCACACTTGGCCCGCCTCTTCCATCCACACATCTCCACCACGTCAAGCCTTCACTAAGCACCTTATAAACTCCTACTTTGTCTCCTTACTTCACACTGTTTCTCTTGGATGTGTTAAGCTCTTCCACTGTGCCAGACAGGGTTCCAAAGTAGGAGTCAGCAAACTACAGCCTGAGGGCCGTATCAGGCCCGGCACCTGATTTTGTAGTGTCCGTAGCTAAGAAGGGTTTCTACATTTAAATGGTTGGGGGGGAAGGAGGGGATAAAAAGAGGAATATTTCATGACACATGAAAATTATTTGAAATTCACAGTTCAGTGTCCATAAAGAAGGCTGAATTGGCACACCGCCACACTCATTCTTTTCCCTATTGCCTGTGACTACTTTCGCTCTGTAGCAACAGGGTTGAGTAGCTGTGACAGAGACCGTATGGTCCACAAAGACGAAAATATTTACCATCTGGCCCTTTGAGGAAGAAGTTGCCATGCCCTGTTCTAGGTTGCTAAGTGGTTCCTCTGGTCGGTGATTATTGAGGCCTGTAAGTGCCGTGTGAGGTCAGTACTGTTACTACCCCCCTTTCACAGTCCTGGTGCACAGGTAGGAGAGAGGTGAAGTGATATACCCAGGGTTGCACAGCTTGTCAATACATTTAGGATCAAACTCTACCACCTCTGAAGTGATCAGGTGGCTGGGACAACTGTAGGCAGCCTTGTACGCCACACTGGGGAGTTGCCTTGATGGTTCTTGATCAGGGGAGTGACATGATAAAGTGAGACCTCAAGGTGGTCACTATGACCACTGAATTGAAGGAGAGAGAAGGGGGGAGGGAGTAGCATAGAGCAGGGATTACGAATTCGAACTCCAGAGCTCAGCTTCCTGGGTTTGATTGCAGCCAGCCACTTATCTGCATGACCTTGGGCAAGTTGCTCTAACTCTCTCGGCCTTATTTCCTCAGCTCTACAATGGGGTGGGTGGGGGACTGGGTGGGATAATAGAATCTAGACTCTCCCTTATAGGGTTGTTGTGAAGACTGGAAAGGAAACTTCTGTCTTATGACTCTGCATTGGAGGCACGGAACAGCCCTTTGATGTTAGCTACGGCCATGCCCATTATTCATCCCAACAAGAAGCTGCTCTCTCTCTGTTCCAGGAGCCATTCCAGCCAATCAGGACACAAAGAGGAAGACAAAATAACCAGACCTGCATCCTGCCCATAGGAGCACTGGGTCCATGGAGGGTCCAGGAGAGTCCATCAATACCTGGGAAGTGTCACAGGTGTTGCCATGGGCTGCTAAGAAGCACCTCCTTCTGGCTCTTCCTTCCTTGTCTCAGGTTCTCACTCCTTCCTGAACTCACCAGGCATCCTGGGGGGTTTGCCCCTGGCCTCTGTGCTGGCCTGAATGGGGAATAATAGACTAATATGAGCATGGGCAGTTGTCCAGCGCCCTGGCACGGGGCTGTGTCTGGAAGACTGTAAATCACAAACCAGCCCAGCGCACAAGGCCCCAGGGAGAACCTGGGCAGGAGAATAACTTGGCCACTTCCACCTGCCAAATCACAAAACAACACATCGACAAGAAAGGCCATTGATGCTGAGAAACCCTATCAGGTTCCAACGTGGAAAGTGGTATTTGTCTTACGAACATGCCTGCTAGGTACAGTGGGAACTCAGAGCAGTTCGGAATTTTATCATACCACGCGTTAGCGTCTCCTGCTTACCCTGATTTTCCCCCCACTGCCATTTATTAGTGTTTGATTTGCCATCTGTAACGTGTCTTTATGTGCATGCTTATGCAGCTAAGCATAGAAAGAAGACTGGGAAGATACACCAGTGACTTTCAACTGAGATGGATGGGGCAACTGGAACATGGCAACAGAAGGGGGAGGCTGGTTATTAGAATCACCTAAATTTTTTTTCCCCTAAATCCTCATGCTTGGGTTAAACACCTTAAGCATATGTGTATTTTAAAAGCCGACCCAATAATTCTGATGTTTGCCCCTCCCTTCCACCCCCATCTCTTGCCTGATTTGTCACCATTAATACACATCAAATGATGAAAATGGTAGTTATAGCTTGAGTGTTGGGATTATAATTTTAAAACATTTTTTTTCTATCTTTTGCTTTGCTGGTGTTATTAAAGTTCTACCATCAACATAAAGACTAGCATAGTAATGTGTTGGTTACAGAACCAAACTCACCTGAGTTTACACCTTATCACGGCGTGTCACTGCGCCTCGGCGATGTCATCTGTAAAAGGCAAAAAGTAAGAATAGCTCTCTAATTGGGCTGTTGTGAGAAGTAAATGACTTAACACATATAAAGTTTTTAAAACAGTGCCTGGCACATGTCACGCTCAATGGGAATTACCCATTATTATTAAAACATAAGAAAAATGTAGCAATACATTTTTAAATTTTAGAAAAAAATATGAAATTTGAAACTATAAAGAAGAAAAAGACTCCATGGCGTTTGCATGATATTAACAGAAGCTGCTCTCCCCTTCTGTGAAGTGGGAGTGGGGGGGGGGGGGGAGGAATAAGGAGAAATGTGAATGGGTTCTGTAGACTTAAAGTGAAGGTAAAAAGTGAGGAATGGCCGTTAGTATGAGGAGTGGGATCAATGCAGCATAAAGGAAAAACCACCCCGGCTGCCGGCCTGGGAGGCTCAACAGGAAGGAGGTGGCTGAGCTTCCCCTTCCTTCTTGCTGGTTCCAACCCAGAAACCCCGCCCTGGGTGGAGAGAGAAGACTGGGCCCGACTGCAGGGTACCCAACCATTCTCTTTTCTGGTCAGACACTAAAGGGCACTCTCTGCTTTGCATATGCATTTCTCCTTCTTCTCTCCCAACTCAGTTTGCCTTTGGTGTCTCTGTATTATTTTGCCTTTGGTATCTCTGTATTATTGCTTATTAGCAAGTTACAGTCAACCTCATAGTTGATGTTTACTGCTGCCAGGCACTATACTAAAACTGCCCGTAGCAGCTCATGTATCCTCCAAGCACCTCTAGGAGACATATACTTTTTTTAAAATCTCCATTTCACAGAGGAGGACACTGAGGCCCAGAGAGGCTAACTTGCACTAGTCTGCAGATGTTGGTCACTAGACTAGAATTCCTTTCAATCTCAATGACAGTCAGGACAATGAGGGGACAACAGACCCAGGAAGCCCAGCATACAGCAGTTCGCTAAGATCTCCAGTCACTGCCTTGCGCAGGGGATTTGCTGAGGCTGGCGTGCAGGGGCCGTATCTACTGGCTGACCCCAGCCCTGGAACCCCTGTTGTGTTCGCCAACCCCAGGCGAGCCAGGAGGGAGGCCCAGGACATTTGATTCTGTAGCCCATGCTGCTCACCACAAACCTAAATTGTCTCAGAAGGAGCACACACCGGTAAAGGATTTTCAGAGCCAAATGTTGAAGCAGGATGTGGGTATTCGTGGAGACTCCGCACTCAGAATCAGTTTCCACCCCGTGCTTCCAGCAATGGGTGAATACAGCCACAAACACTTCCATGTCTAGAAGCAAACTGCAAGAGCCCCCCCTGTTCCAGGAAGAAGGCCCAGCCCTCCCTGCTGGGGAGCAGCTGTGATCCTGTGATGCCAGGTGATGCCTGTGGCTCTGACAGCACCCGGGAGCCTCTCTGCCGGGGTTTTGGACAGCACGCGCGCTGAAAGTGGCCTTTCCTCTCCCAGAACATGATGTAACCCCCCGATCCGCAGCCTCAAATGGTTTGCAGATTGTCTGGGGTGACTGTTTCCTGTGTTCTGAGATCCCAGGTGGTGAGCCCGCTCTGCCTGCGACCCCCGGATGGCGTTTACTTGGAAAGCTGCTTTTATCAGTCAGGATGTGCTTGGTGGCAAGTAACACAAAACACAGTCCAAACTGGCATAAACAATAAAGCGGGGTTTATTGGCTCATGTAACTGAACAGTCTCTGGATAGATTTCAGGTGAGGATGGATATACGTAGTGACTCAACCATCTCACAAAAGGCCCCGCTAGCTTTTTATCTCTTTTCTCTGCTTTCCATGTCAAGTTCATCCTAAGGCTGCTTCCCCTCAAAGCAGCATAAGGACTTCTAGATGCCTGAGAGAGCATGCTTCCTTGTTCATCTCTAGCAAAAAATAAAAATAAAAAAATAAAAAAAGAGTAGCTATCTTAAATCCTATATAATCCTATATAATAAAACCCTAATATGCAAATTGACCAAAACAGCGGAACGACCAGCGAAACGAAGGGGATAAGGAGAAATGTGAACGAGGGGGCAGAATGACCGGTTGCTATGACGCACACTGACCACCAGGGTGCAGATGCTCAATGCAAGAGCTGCCCCCTGGTGGTCAGTGCACTCACACAGGGGGAGCGCCGCTCAGTCAGAAGCCCGGCTCACAGCTGGCGAGTGCAGCGGCAGTGGCAGGAGCCTCTCCCACATCTGCTGCAGGTGGGCGGTAAGGAGCAAGGGGTCCTGGACTGCGAGAGAGATGTCCGTCTGCCAGCTTAGGCCCGATCCTGGAATCCGCCTAGGGACACCGCCCCCCCCCCCCAAGTGCATGAATTTTGTGCAACGGGCCTCTAGTAAAAGCATAATATGCTAAGTGTCCGACTGATCTGTCAACTGTTTGGTCAACAGCTTGACCGGTACTTATGACATTCACTGACCACCAGGGGGCAGATGCTCCAACTGGTAGGGTAGCTTGCTGCTGGGGTCCAGCCAATGGGGACTGGGTGAGAGGGCTGGACATGCTCTGGAACCCTCCCTTGGTCCCTCCCTGGCCCGCCGGCCCCTATCAGCCCAGATCAGGACTGGGTGAGACTGCCCAATCAGCCTGATCACCATCCAGGCCAAGGGACCCCATCCATTCACGAATTCATGCAACGGGTCTCTAGTTATTAAATAAAAGTCCTGAACCTCTGGATCGTCTAAGGCAGCGGTTCTCAACCTGTGGGTCGCGACCCCTTTGGGGGTTGAACAACCCTTTCACAGGGGTTGCCTAAGACCATTGGAAAACACATATATAATTACATATTGTTTTGTGATTAATCACCATACTTTAATTATGTTCAATTTGTAACAATGAAATTGGGGGTCACCACAACATGAGGAACTGTATTAAAGGGTCGCGGCATTAGGAAGGTTGAGAACCACTGATCTAAGGTCATATGACCATCTCTGAACCAATCACTGTGGCCCTGAGCAATAAGTCATGATTGGGGTTTTTTTTTAATTGTGGGTTTTTTAAATGGAAGATCCCTTGCTGATCTGCTTTCCCCTGAAACTTGGGGGAAAAGGAGAGGAGGACCAGTCAGATCAGGAGGAGTCCGTTCCCCAACACTCTATTCCTACATAGATCTAAACCAGTGGTTCCCAACCTTGTTTTGGCCATGCATCATCTAAGCATCTCTAAAATCCTGATGGACATATAATTCTTATTATTCAAAAAGTGAGCTCCTAATTCACATGGAGGAAGCCTAAAAGGACATTAACTTAGTCCAAACAAGCTTCCAAAGAACATGGCATCCATGAAAGAGAAAAATAAAAGAACAAAAGAACAGTTGAAGTACTGAGGAGGAAATCACCAAGAAATTGTTAAAAAAATAATAATAATATGAAGTAATATGAAAAAATAGCAAATAAAGTTTCAAAACATATAATAGAGAATTGAAATGCATAAATATGTCACAACATATATTTATATACCATATGTGAGGCCCCTAGAACCACAAGAAATGTAAAAAAAATCACTGTTAATAACCCATTCTCAAATTGCCCCTCTTAAAAATCAAATTGCCCCCCTGTGGGGCATGTGCTCCAGGTTGGGAACCATTGATCTAAACAGATGAGCCAGGGTCACTATAGTGGTTAGAAGTTGGCAACATAGGGAGAGGGAGAAGAAAGTGGGGGGCTAGGGTGTCAATGAAAAAAGTCCAGACGCTCCCTAACCTGCACCGCCCAGGGGGCACTTGGTCTGCTTCAATTCAAGAAGGATCAGAAGATCAAAAGTGGCTTAGAAAGGCCTGAATCATCAGGGATGGAGGGAGGAGGAATGTCTGTGAAGTGCGGGGTCTGTTTGCCAACTGAGGGGAAGGGATCACCCTCCCCCTACAGGAATCCCTCCAACCCCTCAGGTCTGGTAAGTCTGGGGCTGCCAGATACCCCAGGCAGGGGGCTGGATTCACAAAGGCTTGCACTATAGGGAGAAAGAACGCTGTACCCAGCTTCTCTGTCAGTGTCTAGCGGTCCTTTACCTCCTCCTAGCAGTTTGCTTGTAATTCATGCTTGATCCCCTCAGCTTATTCTTGATGGCGCCCTGGGAGCTGGCACAGATCATTCTGATGGTAAGGTGCTCAGACTCAGGGTCTCAGCCCCAGATCTCCTTCATGCTCTCCTTTGTCTC